TCATTCGTTAGTTTTGTCATTCTTGACACCAAGCTACAAGTCTTGACTCTTTGACAAACTGTATTGAAATGACTGAATCTTATTTTTTAATCTTCCTATAGTTTCGAAACTTACTATAATGATGCTGTAATTAGATCATCTATAAATGATTTATCTTTCCCAATCCTAGTATACATATTTTGTTAAGTAATTCTAAACTTTTCCGTCAAGTGATTAATTACTTAAAATTTAGGTGTAAAACCTGAGTGGATGCTGCAATTTAACCCGAGTTTATCAAAAAATTAATATGTAGCAAATCTTAAAATTGAAACCCAACTTACCAGTCTCGATAGATTGACGAAGGACGGCCTTATCATTACGCCCTTCGGGAAACCTTCCAAACTAAAAAAGGAGACATGCCTAGGTAAGGAATATAACTAACGGAACTTAATCAGTTTAAATAAGGAAAGCATATTTTGGTGAGTAATCTAAAGTTGCTTAGGCATACTGAGGATTAGTGATTTATAATAAAAACTGAGGGTAGTAAACATTTACTAGACGAGGCACAATGGATTATACTATCGTACAGAATAATCGAAACCATTAAAAAGCAAATAACAGCAAACAAATAGTTTGCGCAAAGAAGACTTCGTCAGATGTTTCCCAGCACAAGAGCCATGCCAATCGCATTAATGGAATCCTTCCAAAGTTCTTCCAAAGCGTAGTAATATAAGAATCCTTGCTAGTTTTCATCTTTATGTTATGAAAAAGAACGACATTCGTATTCGCATATATGACTTGGAAACTACTCAAATGACTAATGAAGAAAGCTCAAATGATTTTTCTCCTGAAAATTAGTATCCTTATAAATATTTAAATATATGCCATTAATTTCACAGTAAAGTAATACTGCGTAAAAAACGAACCAGACACTTTGGAGCATATACCTCTTGTCGAAAACGTTCGACAAAAATATGAACAATCAGAAGCCAGGGTGTGTGGCTGAGCTGCTTTGAGTTCATATTTTCCAAAGGAAGTTCCAGAGCCATATCATATAGGCCTTTAGGTGGTTGGTCAAGGTGGAGATCGGGCTTTGTTGAGTCAGGATGCGATTCTATTACGGTATGCTCACGAGTAGAGACGCGAAGGTGTCCAATCATGCCCAGAGACGAGCAAACTACGAGCGGAATAGAAGCAGACTGAAGTAGACGGCTAAGACGAAGAAGGGGCCTAAGAAGAGTGAAATAGAGAATTATTTGTTGAGTAATCAATCATACAATCTGTTGGGTGGGAATGCCTCTTTGTGATGCATGAAAAAGTGAAATCAGATTTAGAAACCTAGCCTTCTAGATAATTCCCATGTATATTTAAGCATTAGTTCCCTCCAAACCATGTAATAAATAAAATTAATGATAGTTTGGTTTAAAGGAGCTATAAATGTACGGTGAGCAGGATTTATTTTAAAATTATATATTAGCTATTAACCCGAAGTTAGTGTAGTCAGCATTGTCAATTAGAAGAATCAGGTCATTAGGATACAATAACTCTTTTAAGGAATACAGGTTTCAAATGGTTTCTCAGTGTGCTGATAGCAAATCTGCCCTAAACTAATTAAATTATTAAAGTTTGCACTTAATTTCACTTTTGCATGAATCTCAAAAGATGTTCTAGTCCAAGATGAACCTCAGTTTTGGAATCCATAGTGAGAATTCTCTCCATGAACAAGGAAATTAAGATACAAGCACGTTGCCTTGAAGCCATACGATCTTGACACCATTGAGTTACGTGGAATTTGTGATTATTAATGCAAAGCAGACAATTTTAAATTCACAACATTTGGTGGGAGTTTAGAGACGATAGGCCTCGAAACAAAATATGGCCAATTAGGGATGCAAATGAAAGCCTAAAATATAACCAATGCAGCATATGAAGGTATACAAATCCCTTTGTGAACATTACATTAGAGAAAGCTAAAAACCAGATGAATTTCGACAGTGAAGGAGATGGCCAAAAAAGAAAACGATAAGAAGCATGATAAAATGTTCATATAACTATAATAATAGAGATAGAGCGAATGAAGCCAAATAAACAGTATTAAGGTGTCTATGTAGAGACAAAGAAAGGAATAGCTGATCGACTTGATTCAGCCCTTAAGTGATAGTGTGGAATCATATAAGGAAAATTCGAGAGAAAAATATTCTCAAGAGCAGAGATCGTCAAGGAGATAAATTCATCCCAGGTTATGTAAGGTGATGGAGTGAGCTCAATTTTTCCTCAATCATGAAAAAAGGCACTACGAAAATAATGAATTTCACTTAGCCTTGCCTCTAAAGAGATATTGTTTTCAAAGCTGGACTGGAATGCCGCTGACCTAGCTTAAGTATTATCAGCATCCACAACATGAAACAAACCCGGGTAAAGCAACGTATAATTTCAACAAGTTACCATTCGCTACGCTGTCACGGGTATTAGTCGATCAAGTTGGATTAGCAATTCTGGCACACTAAGAGGCAAGCTAGGCCATTGGGAGGGGTAATAACGCTTCACTAAACCCGTTCATAAGGACACACCCCTAGAATAGTCCAGAATAAAGTTGTAAT